CACTTTTTAATTTAGTTCTATAGCAGCAACTATGTGAAGTGGGGGCATACAATTACAAATAGGAACTGACTAAAGTTAACAACCAAATTTTACTGTGTAGCACATGCACAACAAAGGTCTTCCCCAGGTTTCTGAGAATGTGAGCAAACGGGTTTATTTTATAGACTTACCTCCTCCACTTTCCCATCCAATCCCATTAAAATTCATACTGAGTGTGCTAAGAGCACCAACCAGTAAGAGGAAACTTTCTCCTATTATATGGAAGACATTTTCTTAAGTAAATAAAACAGTTGGACATTTATTTCAGTTAAAACTTTCCTCAGATCAAAGAAACTCAACTTAACCGAATCAAATAGCAGAGAAGTGCCACAGAGAATGACAAAACCTCAGGCAAATTTGTTCATCCCCCCTCCCCCATCCCTTTTTGGTGATATAAGAAATGCAGGAAACACTGCAACAATAAGATGTTACTAACAAGCACTATCGGAAAACTCAACGAGTCAGCAGACATCTTAGAAATACACAAAGAAACATGGTAGATTTTCTTTATCCTCAGCACAATGCTGAGAAAGGGAGTTAAGATGGACACTTACATTAGTACAGAATTAGGTATAAAAAGCTGAAAAATAGTATGATTCTGGTAAACAATTTATTTCAGGCAAATTTGTTGTAAGTAGCACTATGCCCTGAAGCTTTATTATTTGATATTAATAAGTAAAACTTTGTCGGCACTGGGAAATAACCCAATTTCAGCTATCACTGCAGCTGCACCACAGCAAACATTTAATGTAGATAAGGGAAGTTGCAATTTGCATGGATGGAGATTATTCTTTTTCAAACAGATGAAAGCTCTACTGTCATAAATCCCAGCTTTTGTTGCCTACATTTGGGTTTTGCACTAGTACAACTACAGCAGCGGTTAAAATTGAGGCTAATTTCTAATGCAGACAAGTCCACGTGGTTCTAGCCGACAAATATTTTAAAAGAGTGGAATTATAATAGCTTGTTTGCTATGGAAAGTCAAGTATTAAATATGCTGCTCAAAATATGCACTAATATGGCAACATCACCATTATTTATTCGGGCTTTTACCATCAGTTTTCAACTTGGGATTCTCAGCACAGCAAGGCTTTTCTTACTGATATCTGATGGAAACCTGTGCTAAAGATGTAGCCTTAGAGAGGTGCTGCTCTTCTTCACTAAAGCACACATTATTAGTGAAGCTGCATAATTCTAGTCAATTTCATTTACATATTAGGTAAATTGTGATACATTTCCTTACAGAAAGATGGTGATATTCCAGTTCTTTACAGGCTGGCTAGAAAAGTGAAGAACAAAGGGGGTTGGAGGAATTGAAAACAGAAAATATTGGCCAGAGATTTGCATACAAACAAAAGTTAACCTCCAAAAAAGGCAAAAATATTTCTTATATAAAAATGATGGAACACCATCATTATAACCAGTGTTATATGGTTATTAATATTTTCTTTCCATTTTGTTCAAACTCTGATTAAAAGTTTGTCTGGCAATGAACGGGATTTATTGTGATCCTGATGAGAAAAGGTAACAGTCAATTATAATAAAGCTAATTCCAGAATGACATATCCTAAAGCATTCTTTAAAACGCCATTACTGTCTTACATATAACACTACTGGAACTTCTTTCAAAAGAATAAGTTGGCTCACCTATGTCTTTATCCATAGCTCTTGCAAGGTCTTCAACTGTCATCCTCTTCTGTAGCTCTACCTCCTGCCTTTCTATTTTAGGTTTAATTTGTGGTAATTTCTGTTTTCCTACTCTTTTCTCCTAAAAAGGAGTAAGGCTGTGCATTAGGAGACATAGGTGTCATAAATTAAGGACAAATAAACAATATTTAACAGTCCACTGAAAACAAAAAATGTAAATTGTAGGCAATTTATTTTCATTACAAATTACTGAAAGAACTATTAAAAGAATGAATATTTAAAAATCACAGTGGTATTTTTACTGGTTTTTGCATCTTTCAGTTTGAACAATTAAAATTATTTTCATAGTCAGTTTTCCTTTCAGATTCTTGGTGCTGTAACATTTGGATTTAAAATACTTCAAATGAATGTTTGGAGGGAGCCACAATACATCTACATTAATATGTCTTGTATATCTAAAGTAAATTCTCTATACAGTGGGAGTAACAATCTTAGACAATAAATTCACCACAAGTGGAATTTCAATGTATATAATAAAAATATCCCAATATATATATATTTTCCATTTTGTACTTTCAGACTGGGATCATTTATTTCCAAATAATGCTGCTGTGTAGATGTACCCTCAAAGGGCAAATAAGTAGTATGTGAAGTACTGTGACAAGCTGGGTTTTCAGATAGAGTGAGTGTGTAAACAGGTTCAGAATTCAAGTTCAACTGCTCTGAAATATGACAAATTGTATTAATGAGATTTCAGATAATACTTCCAAAAGCATCTAAGTCACTTTGGCATTGCAAGATTCAGCCTACTTTATAGATACCCTGCCACTCCTGGAATTCAGAACCACATGTTGGACTCCCAAGTTCCTTGTGCACTGTAGGGGAAAGCTGAGTGCCTACCAGTCGGATTTTCAAGTTAGCAAACTAAGCAGGGAGCCACCTAAAACTAGTGAAATGGCTAAATCCAAATGGCCGTGTGCGGTTAATCGCTTCTGCTGGATGTGTTCCACTTCCTATTGATTATTCTTTGAATCAGAAAAAAGAGGCTGACTCTACTGCTGAGCGAGTAGGACACTCAGCTAGCATCAGGTTCAACTTCCTGATCCAACTAATGCTGTTTTTATTTAGACAAAATAAAATAGCTTCAACAGGAGAGATTGAAAAAGCCGCATCCCAGAAGATCCAATAGCCTGGTGGTTAGGGCACTCTCCTGGAATGTAGGACCCAAAGTCTGAAGTCCTTACTCCAAGGCAAACAGAGTCTGGATTCAACTTTTGCCCTTCCAGCTCTTATAGCCAGCAGGTGAAATATCTTAACAATGAGACTATCAGGTCTTCTGAATTGGACTCAGAAGCTGTCAGCCTGGCCCCAAAGTTCCTGACCTGTTTGGTCCTTTCTGCTGGTTAGGCATGCACTGAGGAGTAACAATCTTAGACACAATAAATTCACCACAAGTGGAATTTCAATGTATATAATAAAAATATCCCAAAATATATATTTGTTTTCATTTTGTACTTTCAGACTGGGATAAAGTAGTTGTTGGAACCTGTTCATTACCTCCTTTGTAGATAAAAGCCTATATTGTGAGAGTGCAACACTGATGAACGTGTCTGTCTGCCAGAGCGGTGGGTGCAACTGAACTGGCCGGTTGGGGTATGTGGATAATTGCACAGGCTTCCACTGCGTTCTGTGAATTTTCCTATAAGAAAGACTATGCAGCTGTCTGCAAGCACAATATAACTGGACTAGATTTTCCAATTTCAGCATCATCCTTTGGATCATTTTTTCCACTGTGAATAGAAAGAATACAATGAAAAACAGTATCTTTCAACTTCAGAAGTATTTTCCATAATAAACTTAAAATAACAAATTTTAAAAAGCATTTTCTTGAAAAAATAAAAGGCTAAATATATTTTGCAACTACTTTATTTTCTTTCATTTTTAAAAGTGTCCAGTTTCTTCTTACACACTTCAAATAGTCACGTGTGCTATGCGATCACAGCTTGGAAAGCACTCACTCACTAGTTTCCCAAATCAATTACTGCAATCTCTTGGGTCTCTCCGAATCTGCCTGAAAATAAGGGCATTCACACCAGTGATACTATAACGACATAGTTATGCTGGTGCAAACACTGGTGCAAAGTAGGTTTGCATAGTGCAGTTTAATCCTAGAACATACTGAAACAAATTTTATCAGCTTGAGTCCTGCTTTGCATGTATAAAAAACACTTCCATCTGCTTCTCCAGCCAGATTTCCTTATTTCCCCCTCTTCAAAGACAGCAGTCTCTTTTGTCTCTTCTCACAGACATTTCTGTGGCAACTTGCATACAGCTTTTTATGCTTGATATGTTGTCTCTAAACATGTTCACCTCCCTTCCCACATCTATCCTAAAATCTCACTTGTCCCATGATCCCTAAACCTCAATAGGAGAAAAGATAGCCTGCCAATGAAAATGATAAATTTTAAAAAAAGAACTGGAACCATCAGGATATAGATGGCCACTGAAGAAACACATAGTCCTGCTGTCTCTGTCCTCACTTCTTTCCTATCACTTGAAGACCATACGTTTTTCTGGGATGGAATACTCTCATTTGAGGCACCTCAAAACATAAGAAAGGACAGACACAGTGGAACTTACGATTCAGTTTGTGAACTCAAATTCACATTGGCTTCAATGGGAGTTTTGCACACATAAAGACTAAGTAAAAACAAAGTACTTCAGAATTTGAGGTGTAAATTTAATCCTATAAATTGCTAAATCTACATAACGAATTGCAGAGATTGGGACCATATCCTACAGTATATTGGAATGTCATATACTGTACACGTAATATACTAATGTGATATCTTTGTAATAAAAACCACAAATGCATATTTTTTAAAAAAATAAACAATCCCTTGCCTTTGTAAGGTTGACATTTTGCTGTTTTAACAGTTCATGCTTAAAAAAATCCAGTAATATTCAGGGAGGAAGGGAAGACAAGTCAGAATCTTATAACAATAGTAGCGGACATGAAAGTGCAATCTCAATCACACTTAAAGATGCACATGCTTTTTGTCAATTCATAAAACCTGCCTTATACGTCATGCTGAATTTAATCCATTATAATTCAATCACACTTCAAGAAAATTATACATTTTCTGAAATTTGAAAAACGCCATTTATATAGACTGAAGATAAAATCCACAGCAAATCCTAAAGCAACAAAAATTTTAATCTGTCTGGCAGAATGTTTTTTCCTACTGAAAAAAATCTTGATGTCAATTGAAAACCAATAACACATATATTATGTGATTTCCTTTACTCCTGGCACTAGAGTTTCATGCCTGAATTTAGGATAGAAACTGCACTAGTTGCACTGGTCAAAAGATGAGGATTAATCATCCATTCCAATTTTACACAGTGTGACTTTGCAACTGTTTACCATGTGTGACAAACATTACTTTTGGCATGGCTCATCTTTATCTTTCAACCCCAAGGGTGCCCTTACATGGGTTTCTACATTATCATCATTCCTATTATGTTAAGAAGAGGAGACCATGGGCTGTAGTGTCTTTAATGTGACTAGTAACGTTAAAGTACAATAATTTGGATAGTATCAGAGGGGTAGCCGTGTTAGTCTGAATCTGCAAAAGCGGCAAAGAGTCCTGTGGCACCGAAGTGTTGAAGCATTAGCTTTCGTGGGCAAAGACCCTCTTTGCCAGATGCAACTTGGATAATTTTTGTAAACCTGTGACTGCTGAATTTTTCAATGGTTTCACGTTTACACACCAGGGGAGAGTGGGAGCAGGTGCTTGAAGGGAGCTGGCTTTTAAATTCCCGCCCGCCTCCCCTGCAGCGAGGGAGAATAGGGGGCGGCTCCGCACCCAGAAGGAGCCGGTTTAAAAGCTGACTCCCTGCACGAACCGGCTCTTACTGCTGCCTCCGTATCCGTCCGCAAGTCCTGCTACGGCCCCCACCGCTGCAGTGTCTGTCCGCCCGGACGCAGGGTGGGACGGTTACACCGGCACCCCCGCTGACTGCCTGCAGCGCTCGTCGGTGACACAGAGGCACCATCACAAGCTGCTCCCGGAGGCCCCGGCGACAGGAGCAGGGCGCCTGGCGACAGGCCACAAACCGCTTTTCCGCAGCCCGCCTCGCTCTGCTCAGCCCGCGACTGTCGCCCTGAAACCCGGCCGCGCGCGGCGCTCTCCCCGCCCTACCTTTGGCTGCGGACACAGGGAAACTGAGGCAGGGGCACCTCACCCCTGCCCGGGCCGGCCCCCCCCACCGGCTTTCAGCGGAGCCGAGACGGAGGCTGCGGGCAGGACGTGCTGCCCGAGCGGCGCCCAGGCGTTGCCGAGCCACAGGCACAGGCGAGCCGCGCCCCCCGGGGAACTGCTCCGCGGCCCGCCGCGGAGGCCGGGTGGAAAAGCGCGGCGCGTGCGCAGCGAACGCAACTCAATGCGGCACGTGACCGCGGAGGGGGCGGGGCAAAGGGCCTTGGGAGCACAGCCGCGCGAAGCAGGCTGGGAGCAAAGCGGCTGGTGCCTGGCGGGCTCGCGCGCGGAGCCCTGGGAGCGGGGCTGGCTTGCGCAGAGCTGCACCCTGTAGCCACGTGCAGCCTACCGCGCTTCCAGTGGCCCCTGTATTTCACAGCCGCGCGCAGCTGCCTGGGGTGGGAACGGGAGCTAGGTTGGGCCCGCATTCCAGGCGGCTGCAAACACATTTTACACACACCACCACAATACGCTGTCACCATCGTAGCAAATCCCAGAGGCATATGGCATCCTTGCAGATCCTTACCCAGAATCATCTCTGGCTAGGATGCGCTGGGTGGCTACTGGGTTTGCCTATTAATGGTAGCCTCAGCCTGCCTCAGAAGCTTTGATGCCCATGCAGCCGCATTTCTTGGTAAATATACTTTGGAATTGGTTGGCCTTCTATTCTAATAATAGGCCCATACCAAGAAAGCTGCCAAAAATCGAACACACTGGTGGATCAGTTGTAAATCCAGGGAAGATCATTTCGATATGGTCCTAAGTTACATGCCACCTGCAGTCTCCCATTAGAAGAGCGGCAGCAAGTTCTAACACATCCATCTTCTTTCAAGAGATCTTGATCTACATATGATTTAGACTGGCTTAGGAAATCACTTTTACAGGGGAGCCACTTCACAAATTTCAGTACATGGTTGTGGGGTAGCTGCAGCCCCCTGGAAGGGATGGGGCCATGGGCAGAAGTGGTGAGGCTGAGAGCTAGAGAGAGAAATTGTGTGAGAGTGAGAGAGACGGACTTTGTGTCACAGATTGTGTGTTGGCAAGGGAAGGCACAGCCTTCCCAAAACTGCCCACAAGACCAACTGCCTAATGCTGGAGCTGCTGCTGGGGAAGGCTGGAACCGCAGCATGGCAGTCCAGCTCAGCAGGCTGGCAGGGGCTGAGGACAGGGTGGGGCAGCGCCGCTTTCTCCTGCCACTGGGGAAGGCTGGCCAGGGGCATCATCATAGCCCTAGCTCTCCACATGGCCAGCCAAGATCTGGCTGGGACATAGGGCTTGGCTGCAGGGGTGGGGCCTCGAGTGGAAGGGCCAGAGCTGGGTCTTGCCCTCCCCAGCTGGGCTTTCACCCAATGCCTATGGTGGCAGTGTGTATGCAATAGTGAAAGTGTGGCACAGACTGGGGAAGTATGACAGTGATACAGAGTGTGTGTGCGCTGGCTGCTGCTGGGTAAGTGTCTGAGAGAAGCCATGCCCTGATTCTTTAAGGAAAATCTGTCCTGCTTTGTTGTCTCCCTTCCCCTGCTCTGCACTCCTCATCCATGCTTCAGACTGAAGTAACTCCACTGAGAGTCTCCTTCTCCCTGACTGCTCTCTGCAGAGATGGGTTACATGGGCAGAGGAACACCCTGCCTTCAGCACTCCCCATTCTTCTACTCTGCACAGCTAACAGGAAAATCCTGGGAGTAGCTCAGCTGCAGGATGGCAGCTGAACACTGCAGCTGGCTGTAAATATCCACACTCAGCCAATCAGCTGGGCAGGCTGGAGAGAAATGCTTGATGGGCCAGATCTGGGCCTCAGGCCTGATTTTGCCCACCTCTGATATAGACAATGTAAATAACACTGTTAATTTGTAAAGAGCATTTTGCTTAAAATGCACAAGTATCAGGATATTTATCAAAAGTACAAGTTGCATAATAGCAGCCTTAACTTACATGTCAAATAATTTAAATATTTAACTGCTGGTCTGTTGCATACCAGGAAATAGTTAATTCTGTTTTTGGTTTTGGTATTTTTTTTATCATAAGCCAAAGCCTTAATGTGGCTGGAATTTTTTTTTAATCAAATGCTTTCTATATTTGACACACACATGATATCAGTATAATAGAAGAAGTTCTAGGAGGAAGTTAACACCTTTTAATAGCCTTTGAAAAATCCTTAATCTTTTTTTCCATTAATACTCTCTAAAACCCCACAAATAATCCCAAATGATAAAATGTAAATGCATCCGTTATCCTCAGGGTGATAGGAGAATGTTAGACTCACGGTGACCTGCAGTCTGACCTCTGCAACAATTTATTTATTGCACTTTGCAATGTCTTGGGAGGATGATGTGGAAAGTAAGATAGCTGTACAACTATTTTTAACTCCATTTTACATACGAGCATTGGTTATAATTGCAGGCTCCGGATGCTTTAAACTGGCAAATGAACACCTCATTGTCACTCTCACAATAAACAAGTACTGCATGTTTTGTTGTCCCTAATACCTTTGTGCTGTAGGCAACTGCCTTTTTTGATTACATGGTACAACCCCCCTTCATTGCATTCTGTAATTACTAGAAACACATTCACACATTAGCAGTCACCATCTGCTGATGATACCTTGGTGCTATTTGAACATTTATAATGCATTGTGCCCTTTTTGACACACATGTCTGTGAAGACTCATGAAGAAAACTTAAAATAAGTTAGATCATAATCCTCTGAGGCAGATTCTCAGATGGTTGAAATTATCATTGTGCCATTGAAGTAAATAGTTTAATTGAAGTAGTGCTTAATTTGTGCCAGGACTTAACCCGGCACCTCTAGGCTTGCTGCATCAGTTACGAATGGAAAAAAAAATTGCTTGAGCTCTTTCATTACAAATTAAGCACTGAACTGAAGTCAATGAAACTGATAAATCACGCCATCTGAAACTCTGCCCCTCTGAGTCCAGTTGAAAATAGTTTGTAGCATTGGAACTGCTGTTTGTCATGTATTTAACTCCTTTGTGCCCCAGTTTCTCCACCTGTAAAATGAGGAATTAATTCTTACCTCTCTCACATGAATGTTGCGACACTTAAGCAGTTGTGGACAAAATCTTAGAAAAAGGTGCTCTATACATGCAAAGTATTACAAGAAGATATATGAAAGAGACACTCAAGTTGTGTTCTTATAATAGAAAGGGATGCATCTGCGGGTTATTTCATATGCATAGCACATGGTGATGGTGTCTATGATGTAATTAAATTTAGTGAATTTTGGATTGACAAGAATAATATTTTGAAGGACTTTTAAAATTAAGTTATCAGTCACTAGAATTTCCTACAAATCTCTTTTTGACTAAGCTTCCTTTTGATGATGTCTGGAATAAGTAATGTAAAATCCCATTTAATTAGTTAATCGGTTAAACAGTAACCCGGTCACATCTCTAGTCTGGAAACAATTCCATGTACTGTCATAATTTGAGAGTACATATCTGTGGTTCCAAGACCTTGACAAGTATGATCCAGTGCTAATTAAAAGAACATCAAGGCTTCATTTTAGTTTCCTTATTCTACAACAAAGTGGGAAAAGCGGATGAATTATTCCAGATGTTGTAATTCTGTATAATGGATTGACATTACAAACATTTTTCTTTGATTTATGTGCTAGTTATTTGTTTTGTTCTTTCATAAAAAGTTTTAATTATTGGTTGTATCTTTAACAATAAATGTATATATTTTATTATTGTTTATGAGGCAGATACATGGTTTAATTGCATGCCATTTACTTGTAATTTTTCTTTGTTTTGAATTTCTTTATTCTTCATTATGTAATTACCACATTTGCAGTGGGTTGAAACCCACTTGCATGAACAAAACTGTATGTAATGGTGTGCTCATATTAGCAAGTGAAATTACTGTAGCTGCACATACAAATGGATAGTTAAATGTCTAGTTCAGTTTCCTGATTACAACATTGAGGCAAAAACCAAGAGAATACAGTACTTTATGTTTTAATGTTTTAAAGACAGACTACTTTTCCTGAGTGGACAGCACACCAACATGTTTGAAAGAACAGTACAGATTCATAGTATATATAAATAGCTGTTACCAAAAGCATAAAGACTGCTGCGCTCCTATAAAAGCACCCAACTAGTAATTATGCAGTACTTTCTAGTTAAAGGAGGGACATGGTGCAACCTCCTGCAAAATAGACTCACAAATGCAGTAAAGATAGCATAATTGTGCATTGTATTCTGCCTAAAATCAGTTCGATGCACAGCCCTTCACACATTTTTTTTCCTTGAATGGCAGGAATAATTCACACAGGTAGCTATGCTTAAGCATCAATATTTAGTCAGAGAGGTCACACATGTAGAAGTTACCTGTGCAGTAATGTCTGTTCTTTGAGATGTGTGTCCCCGTGGATGCTCCACTGAAGGTGTCGGGCTCGCTCCAGTGCCACAGTCCAGGGAGTTTTCACTAGCAGTAGCTCTGGTGGACCGCACATGCTCAGAAGCCATCTCGCACTGTTTGCGCCTTTTCTGCGTCACGCGGACCGTCCCGCCAGTTCCTCCTAACCAAAACATCTGAAAGATAGAAGGACAGTAGTTCCGAAGCAGAGAGGAGGGTGGGTCATGGAGCACCCACGGGGACATACATCTCGAAGAACAGACGTTACTGCACAGGGGAGTAACTCTTTCTTCTTCTTCGAGTAGTGTCCCCGTGCTCCACTGAAGGTGAGTATGAAGCAGTAGCCCAGTGTTTATATTGTGCTTTGGCGTTATCGCCTCTGCACCGAGGAGAGCACTGCATGAGCTACTGCCACATCTGTAGCTAGAATGTGATCAAGGGCATAATGCCTAGCGAAGGTCAATGTGGAAGACCAGCTGGCGGCACGGCATATGTTGAGCAGAGGTACATCTTTGAGAAAAGCTGTAGAGGTAGCCATGCTTCTGGCCGTATGTGCCTTTGGTTTGCAAGGCAAGGATTTGTTACGTAGAGAGTAATAGCGAGTGATGCAGGCTACGATGTGAGACGAGATACGCTGTGAAGACAGTTGCTGGCCTTTGGAGTGGTCCATCACTCACAGCAAGAGGCCCTGTGATTTTCGAAAAGGGCATGTCCTGTCTAGATAAAAGGCAAGCACTCTCCTGATGTCCAGGGTATGTAGACGCACGTCCTCTGCGGTGGAGTGCGGCTTCGGG